TTACTTTATATAGAGCTAATGATTCACTTGGTACCATTTTTCTAAAAAGATTTAACTCTACATCAGTTTCATGTAAGTCTGAAATTAATTGTAAATGTAAATTTGTACAATGTTATTTAATGTTTTCTCTGATATTTCCTGTAATTTGTAGAAGTTATAGGAGAAATAGAAAGTGGCTTCATGATTGTATATAATTCAAGACATTTTTACACATTCTGTTGTTGCATGTTTACTTAAAAGGAAAAATATTTTTATATTATCCTCCTTGTTAATAATTTCACCTGAAGTTCATATGAAAGTAACCTTTTTCCCATTAAATGTGATGATCTTTAAATTCAGTTTTTATTTGTAAGCCTGTGAATATTTGTTCTGCAGTGGTGTAGCAATTTTCAAAACTGTAGAGTGTAAACTTGGTAAAGAATTTTAATAATTTATAATGTGCATATGTACACTTGTATTTTGTAATAATTTAGTGATAGTGTTCATTGCCAGGGTGATGGAAGTTCCTGTCCAGGTGCTCAAGCCAGAGATTAGTATTTGTATAGTGCCTCAGGGATGAGTTCTGCAGATGGGTGGTCAAGCTGATTTCCCACCATAGGTCCAGTGCTGTCCCAAAGCAGAGCCCCTTTTCCATCTGATGAGCATAGCCTCTGCTGCTTCTACTTATGCTGCCTCCATCGCAAATACCAATCTGGGCTCAGACCATTGCCTGGGCAGGGGCATGTGTTCTCGCTGCCAGGTCAATTGCTCAGCACACATTACCTGCTGTGCCTATGTGCTCATGACTGCACATGCTGCCTCCTGCTGGTGTATCTCCACTGCTAAAATGAATGCTTCATTGTCCTGTTGGACTTCACCTATAAAACAGAAGCTCGAAGATCAAATTATTATGATTTCAAGACACAACAGCAGAGAATTAAACTAAGTGTGAGTCTCTCCTGAGAGTGAGGCCTATAAGCCAGTGAAGCCAGCCCTACATGGATTACCAGTGTAGTTGGCCCTCTGTATCCTTGGGTTCTGCATCCCCAGATTTAACAAACTGTGGATAGAAAATGTTCAGGGAAAAAAAACCCCCAAAATTATAACAAAAAATAATACAAGTAAAAAACAATACAGTATAACAACTATTTACATAGCATTTACATTGTATTAGGTATTATAAGTAATCTAGAGGTAATTTAAAGTATATGGGAGGATGTGCATAGGTTGTATTCAAATACTATTACCTTTCATATCAGGGGACTGAGAATCCTTGAATTTTGGTATCCACAGGGGTCCTGGAACCAATCCCCCCATGGATACCAAGGGACAAGTGTATGTTAATTTCACCACATTTATATTGTGCTATGCTCATCCTTGAATTTTGGTATCCACAGGGGTCCTGGAACCAATCCCCCATGGATACCAAGGGACAAGTGTATGTTAATTTCACCACATTTATATTGTGCTATGCTAGGTAAGCAACTCAATTCCTGAGTTTCCCCTTTGAGAGTCTGTTTAACATATAAGGAATATATAGTTAATGTTTGGGTCATCCACGAAGTAGCTGTTAAGGAGGTAGGACTGTCTTAGATTTATTGGGTGCAATGCCTGTGAAGGATAAAGAGAGAAGTAGGAGTAGAAGGGGAAGCCTTCATATTCTGTGGTTCTCTGAGGAATGAGGTAGCTTTAATACAGGCGTTATAAAAATACTAATCTCAATTTTTGAAAATAACATAAATTAAAGAAAATTAATTTTTTATTTCAAAAGAACTTTAAGGCACAATTAGTCATATTTCAAAGTAAACTTATCAAATCCAATTTTAGAACTTCTCATAAAACTTAAAAACATTTTGGGTTTAAATATAAAAGCAGATGAATACGTTATGAATTCAAAAATACCTCTTTATATTTTGGGGTTTTTTTGCAGCTGGCCGGTAAGGGGATCCAAACCTTGGCCTTGGTGTTATAAACACTTCACTCTAACCAACTGAGTTAACCGGCCAGCCCTAAATGAATTTTTTTTTCCTCTTTGTATTTTGGAGAGCTGTTTTCACAAGGCCATGACCTCAATAGAGAATTATTCTGTTATCCATATGCCAATTGAATTGAAAGGTTTAATAAGTACAGTTCATTTTAGATGCGTTTACTTTAAAACTATATCAAATTTTATTCAGTCCCTCCCTCTCTTCGTTCTTCCTTCCCTTCTTCCTTTTCTCTCTTCAGCCATCTTCCTTCCTCCCTCCCTCCCTTAATGTGGTTAAAAGTATTGAACCCTTACTAAGTGCCTAACACTTGCTGGGTTCTTTAGCAGTTATGAATATACATTATGGTTGACTTGTGTGTTTCTTTAGGAAAAATTTCTTGAATTCCCACTAAGTATTAGGTAAAGTACTAACTACCAGGAATCAAATAGTGAATAAAGTATGCTCCTTCCTATTCTGCACTGGTAAATACTACCTACCTCCCCTTCTGCCCTCACAGCCAGAATGAGAGAACAGCAAACCTGATCCCAACCTGCAGCCTGAAGCTAGCTGCAGAGCTGAGCCAATTTAAATCAGCTAAACCACAGTGGAACTGCAGACCAATAAGAACGAGAATAAATACTTGTTGTTTTAAACCAATGTTTGGCATTGTTTGTTAGGTAGTGTATTGTAGTAAAAGTCTGGCTAATCAATAAGTAGTTTCTTTGTTCATCTTCTCTTACTGCATCTCACATCTATTTGTACTTTCTTTTAGGCCTTTATAATGTCCTGAGTCTTTGGGTGGCAAATTCCCCGAATTTACATTGAATTGGAAATTATTTTATTTGTCCCTTGTTTGTAAAATGCAATTTTTAGGTAAATAAGTATAGATTGACCATTTTTTCTTCACAATAGAATGAAGGTGTGATTCTTCTGTTTTCTGACTTAAGTTGCAGTGGTTAAGTCAACTGTCAGTATAATTATTGTCCCTTTGTAGGAAATTTCTCTTTTCCCTGGCTGTTTTTGATATTTTCGCTTTGGGCTTTCTGAAATTTCATTATGAAGTGACTAGTTATGAAGTCTTTTTATTCTGATGAAAATTCACTGGGATTCTTGAACATGTAGATTGGTCTTTATGGTAGGTGGAATCATAAACCCTCAAAATAAAAAGAAAAGACAAAGAATAAAAATAAAAAACAGTAAAAACAAAAATGGACCCTCGAATACATCAATGTCCTAATCTCCAGAACCTGTGAATGTTGGGTTACACAGCAAAGGATGATTAAAGTGGCAGATGGAATTAAGATCACTAATCTGCTGACTTTAAAATTGAGAAATAATCCTGGTGGTTCCAATATAATCACAAAAGTCCTTAAAATTAGAAATGAGGGGCAGAAGAGGTCAGAAATGATATGATGTGAGAAAAACTTAATGTGCTACTGCTGGCTTTGAAGATGGAGGAAGAGGGCCATGAACCAAGGAATGTAGGTAACCTCTAGAAGCTGGAAAGGGCAAGGAAACAATTTCTCCCTCAGAGCCTCCGGAAAGCAACACAGCCCTACTGACATCTTGATTTCAGCCCAATGAGATCTATGTTGGAATTCTAGCTTACAGAATTGTAAGGTAATACACTTGTGTTAAGCTGCCAGATTATTGAAATTTATTACACGAGCAGTGGAAAAGTAATGTAGATTTTCATTAATTCTGGAAAATTTTCAGCCATTCTAACTTTTAGTATTGCCTCTTTATTCTCTTTTTTCTCTTCTGGAACTTTGATTTGGCATATGTAGACCTTTCTTCTCTATCTTCCTTGATTCATAATCTTGCTTTAATATTTGCTTAATTACATTCTGGGTAATTTTTCACATCTGTTTTCCAGTGTATTCATTTTTCTGCTGTATTTCTACTGCTATTTAACTCATTAAATTTTCAACTTCAACAAGTATATATCTTATTTTTAGGAGTCTTATTTGGTTTCTTTGCAAACTTGACTGGTCATTTTTTAACAGCTTCTTGTTTCTTACTCAAATTTTTAATGTTCTATTTCTTTAAAGACATTGAACATACTTGTGAGACTGTGAGCATAGCTTACTCCATCTTGAAGCGCTTATCACTTGCTATGTCCTTTATGTGAACCTTGCCCTCAAAAGTTAATACAGTAAATAGGACTAAGGTATTTTGAACAATAGCTACAAACAGCTTGCTGAGTACAAAGAAGGAACTTAATGTTTAAATACTGGTATGACAGCAGGCTGGTCTGGCTACCTGCATCACAAGACCAACAAAGATAGTAATCAATGTCATAAGACATTTGGAGTTAGTGACGTTAGCTTGTTTCTTAATAATTGCTTCTTGGCTTTTTCCACTGCTTTGTGTGAACTGCCTATATAAACCTGGGCTTGACCAAGAGGCAGTGCGGAGACGCCTTGCATATGCCTCTGGGTCGTTGCCTGCCTGATCCATCATCCTGTATGTAAGTTACCCTAATAAAATTCCTTGCTTTACTGCTAAATAAAAATAAAATAACTGAAGAAACCAATGATGATTAATATGGATAAGAGAAGACTTGGACCTTATAATAGCTGTCTTTAAATATTTGAGGAACTCTTTAGGTGGAATTGGAATGAGATTTACGTTCTATCATTTTATGGAAAAAAGAACCAGTGAATTGAGTTAATATGAGGCACTGTCAAGAGATGTAGAAAGATGAACGAGTCTTATCTGTGTGGGGAATTTTTGTTGGGGTGTTCAAACATTAGACATTCCTTTATATGGTTATATTTAATAGGTATAATATATGTAGCTCTGGATATTTTGAATTGTTTCTTATAGTAATAATAGAAGCTTTCATTGTCTTAGAAATTGTTTCACCTAAGTACAGTAAGATTTACTTTCAGAATTCTTTTTAAATCACCTAACTATGAGTGTTTGATTTTGGTTATCTTGTACCATTGCAAATAAGAAATTTTAATTTTAAAAATCTTATAATACAGTTAAATATTCTGCCATTGGCAGAATTGAAATGTTAATTGTTTGTTTTTCACATTTCTCTCAAAGAAAAACATTCAAGAATCAACTGCACAGCTGATAGCACTGCATGATATATTAGAGGTAAGTGTTTTGTGTACTTTGTTTTGTTTTGAAGTTATCTCTTAGTCATTTGTGAACAATTATACTCAGGCTCAGAAAAGACAAAATACTCTTTTCCTTAAATAACATCAGTCTCTTTTGTCATAATATAAGGACTGAGTAATTCCAACTTTTTCAGTTTGACATTTACCTTGTTTTATGAAAGTATCTTTGACCTTTTAAAAAAATGCTTTTGAACTTCAAGCAGATTATCAAATAATTAAATACCTCAGAAGGTCTTGATATGACAATCCATGGCAAACTGGGCAGAGAGGAAAATATAATAGTCTGTGAAGAGAAGGGTATTTACCAATTAGTGTGCCTTTTAAAATATCATTAGTAAGTTAAGAAAAAACATGTTTTATTGTAATTTAATGAATTGGGTGCTAACCTCTATTTTTGCCCAACTAACTAGTTTTGATGCCTCAGGATATCTTAATACAAAATACTGTTACTTTGAAATGCAAAATACAAATATCAGATTTGTAATTAGAATTTTGTTAACATATTTCTAGCGACTTCAGTTTATACAACTAGAAAAACTATTGTTTCTTCTGGATAACTTAACTTTTTAATTTTTTTAAATAAAAATTGTCACTAATGTGGCATATATTGCAAGAATTAACTGAGAAATACCTGTGTAATTTTTTAACACAATGGGGGATACCATATAAAACTTAGAAACCTAAGTTCATCTCCTAGGCTCATATTATCAATGATAAAAGTAACTGATACTTAAACTGCAGTTCAGTGAAAAGTAAAATTTAATATATATACTTGTTTTAAATTTGAATTTTTAGCATTTCTGGCATCTACTAGAATTTTGATTACTATAAGTAAAATTAAAAATGAAAATAAGATTTTAAATTGTATTAAAATAAGCAATTGCTCTAGCTCTAGCTCTAAAATAGGAATAATATTTGGTTCTTTTTTATGATACATAAAAGAAAGGAGGCTAAAAGCTTTTCCCCCCAGAGTGTATGACTTGAAATAGGTAGTTAATGGTAGTCTAAATTTTTATTTCAAAAATTGAGATATTGATGTTATTACGAAGTACTATTGAGACTAGACCTTGACAGGTAATTTTATTCATTTCTATGGCACTTTATATTTGTATAAATTATACTTTTTCTTTTCCATGTTTCTCAGAATAATAGTATCTTCCAATTAAAGATTTGTCTTGGCAATTCAGAGATTCAAATTCTAATCCATAATCTGCCACTAATTATGTGCCCCTAGAAATCCCTTAACACTTCTGAGTTGTGTAATTTGTGAAGGCCCTGGGACATAGCAGAGGAGGCAAAATAATAATTGATCTACATTTAGCATTTTTCACTGTGTTTCGTAGAACATTAGCATTCAAAGAATTGTGCATAGTTTTTTTGAAGAAATTTCTTAATATCAATGGATTTGGGAAAGACAGGTGATTCTTAGTTCACATTAGCAACCTTTCCCAAGCTTACTTGACTCTGTTTTTCAATAACTAAGAACATATTTAGGAGACCAACTTCATGGAATTCAGTCTGGGAAATGCTGGCCTGTATAATTTAATACAAGTACTCAGCACTTCTCAATATGTGGTTGTAACCCCTCAACATCCTTGATGAAGAATCAAAGATAATTCAGGATGAAGTTGAAGGAAGTAATGATAAAATTGACTGTTTTGAAGATTTATCAGAATAATAGTTGTTGTGGGGTGGGGCACAACTGGTGGTTTCTTTTCCTCCCAAATATTAAGATACGCTGGCAGACTTTCTTTTGCATTTTGTATGTATTTTGTGGAATATTGATTTTTTAAAGATTTGTTTTTATTCTAAAATTATTAATCTTAAGAGAAGCGGGAGAGTTGTAAATGCTTTTTAACCAGTTTTTAAGAAGTATTTTCAAAAGTTAAGGTGCATAGATTTCATTGTAAAGCTTTTTCCATTCACTGTCTGTGGTCTTCTAAAAAAGAAAATCAATTTAAGTTAGTATATAAAAATTATGATATAAATAGTTGTTCAAGGAGAAAAGAAGTCAACATTTGTTTTATTATGGCTGTATTGACTTTTTCCCAAGTAAAGTACGTTTTTGAATATTTTCTCCTAGATTCTTATAAATAGATTATTTGATGTTCCACATGACCCGTATGTTAAAATTAGTGATTCCTTTTGGCCACCTTATATTGAGCTGCTGCTGCGAAATGGAATTGCCTTGAGACATCCAGAAGATCCAACTCGAATAAGATTAGAAGCCTTCCATCAGTAAAAGGATGGTCTCTTTTTCACACAGTAAAGAATCTTGTCATTCAAGGAAAATGGAAACAAAGGACTATTTGGATAAAGAACATTATTTGCAAAGCAAAACACATAGTCCGTCTTCCTTTTATCCTTAAATGACACATGCTGCCATCTATTACTCATTTTTAAATGGTCCTTTCTCATTCTGTCAGTGCTTTGGTGTTTTAAGTTATATGGATAAGAATGCAAGTTAAAAATATTCTAGACTTATAAGACATTAAATGTACCTTACTTTATTCAGTATTGTCTGGAAAATTCCTTCTTAATTTATGATATTGCTATTGCTAATGTAATATTTTTCTTTTTAAATTTGACAGTATCTTTTATGCATTTTGAGTTCCATTTAGTGCTTCATTCCTTTATATTTAGGAATTTTAATGGAAAGGTCATTTAATTTGAAGATGGTTTTTAAATTGAAGCAATGTAGAAGGCAGCATAATTTAAAAATATTTAGTGAATTTGTTTCATGTGTACTGCCTTATTTCTAGATTTGTAAAAAATTGGAATATAAAAAGCTAATGGATAAAGCTAGCATGAAAACTATATTTTAATGTGTATTATATACCAAATGACATTATATATTAGTCCACTCTTGGTTCTGCTAATTATTACTAACAAAATTGTGTTTATGACACTTTATTAATTCTCTGTGAATTTTCTGTTAATAAAATTCTCTCTAAAAATCGCTAGCTGTTGGTGATGTGGCATATTTTTATAAATAGAAAAGACTTTTCACAGGTAGGTAAATTGTGATGTTATAGGGTTCATCCAGGATTATTGCAAGCTAAACTAGAGAATTCTAAGCCTATTCAGTATCATAAGTTTTCTGAGATAAATTTGTGTGTGCTTTTACTTGAAAATGTTTTCTACTATATATCATCCAAGTTTCTTGCTTACCTTAATGACTTCATCTTATTTAAAGTAAGCAAATTAGGGCTGAGCCCGTGGCGCACTCGGGAGAGTTCGGCGTTGGGAGCGCAGCAGCGCTCCTGCTGTGGGTTCGGATCCTACATAGGGATGACCGGTGCGCTCACAGCGCTCACTGGCTGAGCGCAGTGCAGCCAGTCTCAAAAAGGACAAAAAAATAAATAAATAAATAAATAAAGTAAGCAAATTATATTCCAAGTATACCATGTTCCTTTGTAGAGATACAAATACTGTTATATTTTAGATAATGTAACTTCTTTTAGGGGAAGATGATATATAAAGTACCTTCCTAGAATACTCCAGGTGGGTATCAAAGGAATTAGCAACTTTTTATTCCTTGCAGTTACTGGAAAGTGGGGAAATGGTTCTGGCAGTGTAGGCCTGATAATAATTCTTCAGAGCAGATGCTACTATTGTCTGGGAAGTCATATGTTGAAAACTACTGGAAGGAATAGATGAAGTCAGTGAACAACTTTGTCATTTATCTGGCAGGTCTTTATTTCACATTTTACTAATGATGATTTTATCCTACTTTAATTCATTAATCCAGAATTCTTTTTTTTTTTTCCTTTTTGTCTTTTTTTCATATCCGGCAACGGATCACAACCCTCAGTGTCGCGCCCATACCGGACCAGGACCGGCAATGGGATCGCAACCCTCGGTGTCGCGTCCGCACCTCGCTCAGCCAGTGAGCGGGAAACGGTCTGTATGTGGGATCCGAACCCTCGGCGGGAGCGCCGCCGCGCTCCCAAGTGGCACACTGTAGCAGTGCGCCACCGGGCCGGCCCCAATTTTTTTTTTTCCAGAATTCTTAACATAGCAAGATTACTTGCCCACTTTTGATCTGCCATAAAATAAATTATAGTAGAATTAGTCTTGATTTGTAATCCATCTAAACTTACAGCCCTTAAAGTTTTTTGTGGCTTTGAATGTATAAGAGAAAATGTATTGAGTGTAGAGAACCTATACGTATTTTCACTTTTCAGTGATTTAAGAAAGTCATTGAAATCTATTAAGACTTTTTAAAAAATTCATTGGCTCTTATATATGATAACGTAAAATATATGAAAGTCATACCACATTCTAGCTTTCCAACACTGAATGGTGATGTTGGTCTAACTTAAAAAAAAAATTGGTTAGTCTACTACAAAATGTCTTTAGCTTTGTTATTGGTTAATAGGTAGGTATAGATTGATTTGGGAGAAATTAAATCTCTGTTTGTTTGGAAATACAGCCAACTGGAATAAGACCCTGTAGTTTTATTTGGTTGTACCTTCGCATGAACATTTCTGACTCCTTTATTTTCCTTAGTTTATTTTTTTGTTTATTAAGTTTGCTTTTAGTTTACTCTTTGTTGCTTTTAGCAAGAATTATAGCTTTCAGTTGAGTGTAACTTCTTACCCCAATTTATTTTCTAATAATTACTAGTAAATGATAACTGCACTAGGAATAACAAATGAAATGACACTTTTGATGTTTGCTAATGAAAACATTAAAAATATGTAATCCTTATGCTTATAATGTTCACTGATAGACTATATTGTTTTCTAAAAGTTTGTATGGGTATGTCAATATGCTACCAATTGCTAAATGTAGCATACCAGGTACTTTTGTGATTATTGTTACATTCTTTGACATGTTGACTCAGGAACACATGTTAGTAAAGTGAAAAACTGCATGCTGTTAGCTTATTTTGAATATTTTTCCTAGCTTATTGTTTGTTTTCCAGCCTTTTTTTGGTTGAATTTCTCTTTTTTTTACATGTAGAGATTTAACTGATTTTCAGTTGTACAAAAAGTAAATGCAGACGTTACAGATAAAGCTAACATTTTCTTTGACATTTTCTTTTTTTGTGCAGCCATCTCCACCATCCATCTTCAGAACTTTAAAAAATCTTCCCAAACTCAAATTTTAGGTCCATTAATAAAATAATTAATAAAAATAATTAGTAAATTAATAACTAATAAATAAAAATAATTAATAAATAACTTCCTATTTACTCCTCCATCCCCAGCCCCTGCCAACCACCATTCTACTCTCTTTCTGTGAATTTGACTACTTTTGTTTCATTGCATAAATGTAATACAGTATTTATCCTTATACTGGCTTGTTTGAAAATGTGTTTTAAAAAATGTTTTTAATTGACATTGAAATTATGCATACTTATGGGGTACAATCTGATGTTTTGATAGATATATATGTTGTATAATAATCGGGTTAGGGTAGTTAATGAATGTGTCAGTCAGCTCATGCGTTTATCATTTCTTTGTGACAGAAACATTCAAAAACCTCTCCTGTGGATATTATGTAATATACAAAACTTAACTGTTAACCATAGTCACCCTACTGTGCAAAAGAACATCAGAACTTATTCCTCCTGTCTAATTGAATGCTGCACCCAGTGGCCAACCTCTCCGTTACCTCTTCCCCCATCCCCTTCCCAGTCTCTGATAATCACTGTTCTACTCTCTGCCTCTATAGTATCAACTCTGAATGAGTTAACATTTACATTAAGATCTGATTGACTTGAAATATTCATCCATGTCAATATCATTGGGAAGAACATTACTGGAGAGGGACTTGGCCTATTTGAGGAGTGAAAAGATCCAAGTGTGTGTGGAAGAAACTTAGTTTGCCAGGGGAGGTCAGAGAGGTAGATAGTATTTGGGTCATGTAGGGCCTTTAGGTTATAAAAAGGAGTGTGCATTTTATTATAAGTGTGATGGGAAGGTCTGGATAGGGAAACTGCTATAGATGGGTAAGTGTGGAAACTGGACCAGTCTGTTTCCATGTGGACTAAGGTGATATGAGTAGACACAGAGATAAATGGATATATTCAGTACATATTTGGGGATAGAATCAATAGGACTTACGTGGACAATGAATAAAAGAAAGGATTAAGAGATTAATCCTGGTTTTTGGAATGAGCAACTTGGTGAATCATGGTATTTTCTAAATGAAAAAGAGAGGAACAAGTTGAATTCTGTTAAGGTCACATTAAGTTTGTGTTGCCTATTAAATACTCAAGAAATATTTAGAATACAGGAATCCTTTGCATACAGATGATCTTTAATGCCATAGAAAAGAATACATTAACTAAAGGAAAACCAGTAGAGAAGAGATTGGGTTTCAGCACTGACCCCTGGGTATTTTAACAGTTAGTGAGTGAGCAAGGGTGAGGGGGAATCACTGAAAAAGGAGAAAAACTAGGAGAGTGTAGTGTCACAGAACCCAGGGGAATAATGTATAGTATTTCCAGAAGTAGAGAGTGATCAACTGAGTTGAATGTTTCTGGGAGATCAAATAAGAACCACGAAATTGACCACTAGATTTGGCCGGACTTCACTAAGTTCTCCATTCCTTGAAGTCCATAGCATTTATAACATGTCAGTAAATTATGTAACTTACTGCATTTCCCCTTATTTTTCACACTTTAATCTTGTTTTTCAATTTGTCTTTTTTTTTCCACCACTGTACAAACAAGGATGTCAATTTATTTAGAAAAGGAATTTTGTCTTATATTTTTATACTTCTCAGAGGACTTTCCACAATGCTAAAAAGTAGGCAATTGTTATTAGCATATTAGAGTTTTTGCTGTTAGCTTAGTGATACCCTTTCACTTAATTTTCTCCTTTTTTCTTTTCGGCTGCTGGCCGGTGTGGGATCTGAAACCTTGTCCTTGGTGTTATAACACCATGCTCTAAAACAACTGTGCTAACAGGCCAGCCCTCTCCTTTTGTTGAATACTAGATATTATTTGTATAGTATAGTTGAACCATTGATTATACCCACTCTTTTCTCCTCAGGTTTTTTTTCTTCCTGCCATTGATCACATAGTCTAATAAGAGAGTTAACAAGGAAAGAAAATTTAAAATGAAACTATTTTTGCGACTATTTGTGGTAAATACTTTGGGTGGAAAGGCTGAAATTATAAGCTAGATCTAATACATGAATTTCAGTTAGCCTTGCTCACTGATAATATATCATTATATTGCTAATTGCACATTTAAAGATAAAGTCCTGAAATTGCCAGATAAACTATAATAACAAATAATAATCTTTCTTTTTCTTTTTTAATTGTAAATTATTTCAACCATACAAGCATTAAAATAATATATACCTATATATACTCAAAACTGCATCAAGTGATGTTGACATTTTATAATAGTTCAGATTGTTTTGTTTTTCAAATTAAATTTTACAGATTTAGTTGATGTATACCTTGTGCTCTTCCTAATTCCATTCTTTTTTATTTTTTGATCAGAACTGAAAATTTAATTGGGTGTAAATTATTTTTTTAGTTGAAGCATAATTAATTATACATATTTTGGGGGTACAGTGTTGACTATCAACACTGTTTGATGTAATGATCAAATCGTTCTTATTATCATATTCATTATTATTATTATTTTTTTTTTTCCTTTTTGTCTTTTTTCATGTCCGGCAACGGATCGCAACCCTCAGTGTCACGCCCGTACCGGACCGGGACCGGCAACGGGATTGCAACCCTCGGTGCTGTGTCCGCACCTCGCTCAGCCAGTGAGCGGGAACCGGTCTGTATGTGGGATCCGAACCCTCGGCGGGAGCGCCGCCGCACTCCCAAGCGACGCATTGTAGCAGTGCGCCACCGGGCTGGCCCCATATTCATTATTTTAAAAAATAATTATTCCTTTCACCTCTAACCCACCTGCCCCCTCACCCTTTACCATCTCTTGTAATTATAGATTTGTTCTCTCCTTCTGAAAGTTCAGCATATCATTAT